TCATTTCTGGAGGAAATGGCAGTGGGTAAGCTTAGTGTAAACTTTAATAATGCCTTAGGCTTTATTTGGATCAAATACCCCAGGTGAGGAAGACAAATTTATGGACATTTAAATTGCTTCTCAAATACTATTTCTGAGATCAAAAGCACTTCAACTTTCTAGGTACAAGAAAAATAGAAAAAGAAATTCTTACACATAAAATAACACATCATTTCATAAACCAAGGGGAAAAACCCATGCACCTTTGCAGATTCCTTATTTGACAACTTAAAACCAGAAGGAATTATTTTGTAGCTGTTTAGTACATAGCTGAGGAATCTTATGTGACGAAAGAATATTTGTGTTCTGTTGGCACCCACCACACACCTTCCTGAGTGGTCACCATAGGGTTTGCAATATTTACCCAGGTCCGCCATTGTCTGTCTCGGCTGTCATCTTTTATTATGAATCTACATCTCAAGCTAAACCTTTGCATTTGGCAGCCTGATCACGTGAAAAGCCGGGGTAAAGGACAATCTGACACTTGTGGGCAAAATAAAGAAATTTAGTTAGAAATAAGGGACTGCATCTTAACCCTAGACTCATTGTCTTTTTAAATTATCTTCTTCCCATGAGGCCAGATTGTCCACAATTTCTTCATTATCCCTAATGTCTCACCCCCTCTGTTATCCAAAGTAACCTAACACAATTCCCAGATCTGCTGCTGCGAGTTTCCAAATCCTGCTTTTTCTGGGCAGCTAGAAGCAAATATAGAGAAGCATGGAAACGGTCAATATGTACCACCAGAAATAAATTAACATTTTTGTGTTCATAAATATTGCATCCTAAATATGGTCCAAGAGAGGCTTCTGTTGGTAAGAAAGGCCGTGGGAAGAAGGTTGGGAGCATCCCTATGTCTGTGGACATCTTTATCCTCATGCAAATATCATCACAGATTCCTGGGGAGACCTGTTTAGTGTGGTCTGTCAAGCATGGACCAGTTCACTACCCAGGGAACACCTTCCTGTGACACACAAGTCTGTCTCAGGGGGCTCCCACGCCCACCCCCTCTCATCTGAGCTTCCCAACAAAGCCCACAACATAACTTAGTCCTTCTAGTGCCCAGTTCAGCACTGAGAAAATGACAGGAATTGGAGTTGTTTGAACAGTGGTACTGAAATAATGACATTTTTCTAGAACCCACCAATTTGCCGACCTGTCACATGATAAGGTTTTTTTAGCTTCGTAGAAAGAAACAGAAGCAAGAGATTTAATCCCAGGTACAGAGGCGATATTCAGTAAATACTGGTTTATCAATGTAGCTCCATTGATGTGAAATCTGATGTCTCAGTTTATTGATAAAACAGTCACAGGGGCTGTGTGAGGAACAAGAAGCACCACCAGGAGGGGGAGGAACGGAACCAGTGACACACAGGTGACAGCCTGGGGAGTCTTTCAGCTTTGAGATGGCCACGGAAATGAATGGCCAGTCAACGTCACGGCCAGGCAGGCACACTCTTCATAATCACTCAGTATTCTAAACATGTCATGTCTCTACCCTGCCTGTCTGGGGAGGGAGGAAACTCTTCTTAATACATCTAGTTTTTGCATTTGACTTCTAATTTCCTGATTTCTCCATGAAACTCATTTCATCCAAGTTCAGCTTATGAGAAAATTTAGTCACTTCTTTTGGCTCTATTGTCTGCCACTCACTCTCTGAGATCACAACACAGAGAGAAAGTTCCCCAAGGAAAAGATTTGTTCTGTGATTGACAGGAGAAAGGAAAAATACATATACATATATTTCCAATGGTCGGGGGGGAGACATCTGTTTGGTTTCTAGGAAGCATTTATCCCACAGCACAACCAAAATACAGCTGGCTCCGCAGCTGCCCCTACACCTGAAATGCTCAGCTTGGGGGGGGGGGGGCATCTCCTTCGTAGGAGACCTTCGACAAGTCTGTGCCTCAGAAGCCTAGATGCCCCCTCTCTCCATCTGCAAAACACCACCCTCCTCCTCATTTCTTGCCTGAAACCAAATTAACACTCAGAAAATTCATAATAGGTTCTCATAGTAGATTGCAACATCCTAGAAAAAGGGAGTCACATTTATTAATCGTGTAAATAATACTTTTCTTGACTAAGCACAAGCATAATCTCATTGATCCTCATGAGCTTTCTTTCATGTTTCTCTCAGCAGCCAGTCAGCTGCAGTACATGTGAATTCAGAGTTTGGATTCCACCAGTGGGGCCCCGTCACTGCTGGACCACCTGAGAATCACCTGGACACTAGCGGGTCAAGATTTCTGCATTCAAGTTCCTGGAAAGTTAGATAATATCTAATGAGCCCTTTTTCCTGTGCAAACACAAAAGAACTCCACTACAACAAGGCACACGAGCAGACACTCAAACAAAGATCGTTTTTTTTTTCAAAAGATTTTATTTATTTATTTGAGAGAGAGAGAGACAGTGACAGAGATAGCGAGAGAGAGCACAAGCAGGGGGAGTGGGAGAGGGAGAAGCAAGCCCCCCATGGAACAGGGAGCCCAACGTGAGGCTCGATCCCAGGACCCTGGGATCATGACCTGAGCTGAAGGCAGGCGCTTAACCTCGACTGAGCCGCCCAGGCGCCCCTAAGATCCTTTCTTATTTAAAATGGCCGCAAATTGGTGACTAACATAACATAATAAAATAAAATTAAAAAAAATAAAATAACCACAATTAAGAGGACAGTCCCAAAGTGCAAGAGATTTGGGTTCTAGGCCCAATTGAGTCAGTTCTCTTCAGACTTGTCACCTCCTTTTTCTTCTCTCAAGCCCCAGTGTATCTAAGGGCCTGAGCTAATGTCCTTGCTTAGCTCCCCCCCCCCCCGAGACTCGCCCTGTCCTGTTCTCACCGTCATTCTCATCTTATCAAAGCCTGTGCTTAGAAGGTTAGCAACGGAAAGGTCTAATGCATTAAGTCTTATTAACGTTAAAATGACAGCTCTACATGGCACACAGCATTGGAAAATTTCTAAATTTGTAGAGCACTAAGGAATCATCTAGTCTAGGTTCCTCTTCACTCAGAGAAGGAAACTGAGGCCCAGAGGGATGAAGTGGCCTGCCCGGTAATGGGGACATGGGATGAGAACACAGATGTCCTCCCCTTGGCTCCTTAACTCTCCCCTTCTCTCTTGGCACCCATTGTTCTGAATAGTATTTACAGTTTTCCATGAAACCTCAAGGCTCTGGTTCTCTGATAGTGGGACTTTGGACATCAGTAGAGAGGCAAAAGCAGCCTTTCCCAGTGCCACCCAAATAAAATCACATTTGCCTGCAAACCCAAACTTGAGCATAGACTCCAGCAGGAGAAGGAATACAGACACGCTCTGCCCAGTTCTCTCTGGGGACAAAGCCAAGAGGAAACCCCAGCGCAGCCCTTGCCACCTTGCTTTCCCAGCTGTTGACCAAACATCCTGCAGGGACACAGGCCACCACCATGTGCTGAGTTGATTTCATCACTCAGTATTATCAAGGCTTAATACTGGCGGCTTGAGAGACCCGTGGAACTTATTTTTAAATAGTGATGAAGCGCTAGACAATTCTTATATCTCTAAGACTATCCCCAACCTTGGGCAGTCCACCAGAATTGCATGCTAGAAGGGACAAGAACCAAATTTTCCCCCAGATGCTTTAGGAATATTAGACTCAAAAAAATCACATTTACTGAGCACTTGCTATGTGCCCAGACATTGATCTAAGTATTGAAGAAAGGGGTCTGAGTCATGGCTCACTGTTTCCAATGAATGGAGAAGCAAGAGAGATCTACTGCATATGTTAAAAATAGCCATATTTATTCAAATATTTTTATGCCAGAACCAATTTTGGATGACTTGAGTTTTAACCAATTGTTTTGATATCCCATAGATTCATCAAGCAGGATGTTATTCTCCATCCTGGCAGATGTTTCATTGTCAAAGCCTTCTTTAGAACAGTTAAAAGTGGCCATTGGTTTCATGAGTGCATCAGTTCACTTTTTTTATTATTTGTTGGAGTGAAGGGCAATTCCTTGTCCGTAGCCATTTTGTGTTTGGAGACCAGAGGCTATTCATCAATTCTGGAAGTACAGCCAGATGGCTCTTTCTCCTCTTTTGATAAGGTAAGCAGGTTTATCCTGCCCCATAGTAGCTCTTTCTGCTACTCTGTGTCCATCTACGTGGCAGTTAAAGGCAACCCTACATCTCTCATAAAGTCACCTCTGACTTGGGCAGCTCCTAGACCCAAACCAGAGCAACTGAGAAGTGCAGAGAAGTGCTTATGTGAAGCTCATCTCTAGACATGGGGATGTTTTCTGTTTCTCGTTTATAGCCAAAAAGCATGAACGCGGACTGCGAGGCCGGGACACCAGCATCGTTTCTCATCTGCTCCACTGAACAGGGTAACCTGAACTGTACAGCCCTCTAAAGGACAAAACCCAGACTAGAAAACATGTAACAACTCTGCCTCCACTCATCAACAGCACAAATGCCTCTTCTCTGTCAACTACACTTCAATTAAAGATGAAAAATAAAACAAACAAAAATGTGCTCCCTCAAGTCAGTGAGGACAGCCACTCAGAAAACACACAGGAACAGCACGCATGCCCGGGATCGCTCTCACCCTGGGCACCTATACTCACAAGCAAAAACTATCTAAGAGGCCTCCCCCCAAATCCCCAGTTGCTTAGGAGCCATATTTTCTGCATTTGTCATTTCTCCCATAACACTGTGAGGGGTGATATTACAATTCCATCACGATTAATTTTATTAAAGTCGTCGGGAGAAATTAAATTAATGTCTCTCTATTGATAACATGCATATCAGATGCCTCTTTTAGCCAAACAGAAAAACAAACCAAAACCAAATAAAAAAAAAAAATACTTCGTAATAACTCACCAGGAAACATTATAACATGAATGAGCTCTATTAATGTAAGACAACATGCTTTAATTAAGCACATACTATGGTTAAAAAAAAAAAAAACAAAACAAAACAGTGTAGCATCATCTGTCACCTGACACTCTCCAATTAATCATTTTAGCTTCCAGTCACATTGTCAAAAGCACAATGTCAAGTGCTTTTGTCAAGAGAAATTGTTATCTAAATTAAATCTGTATCTCGAGGATATTAGTCTCCCACGAAGTCCCTGTGTCCCATGGCGGCTCGCCTTTCTGCCTGTTGATGTTCTCCGGGAACCTAGTGGGTAAACTTTCACACGGGCCAAAGTGAGTCTGCGTCTTCGTGAGCCACGTCCCATCTGGAGAGAACGGTGCGCCCCGGGGCTGCCCGGCATTCCCTCTTCAGACCCACTCAGACTTTCTGGATCTGGAGTTGGCGAGCCCGTCGGGGGGCTGTAGCTGACCACATGGATAGCGCCGGCCAAGCCGGCTCCGAGACGCTAAGGGATGCTCCTCTGACCTTGTGGGACCTTCGCCCCTGGGGTCCTGGGAGACCTCTCCGTGCGGCCTACTCCCGGGCTCCTTGCAAGTCGTGGCCAGCTTGTCGCTGGCAGAGGATATGACCTCGCTCTCATCTTCATCGGGAAGCCCCATCCGCCCTGACACAGCTGACTTACCACTGGGGCTGTCGGCACCCTCCCCTCCAGTCCACAGGCCGAGGTGGATGGGCGCCCCCTCCTCCACCCACCCACCGTCGCGGGACATCTGACCCGGCTTAGCGCCCAGGCTCCCGGAGAGCCGGCGGCCGGCGGCGGGGCCCGGGGGATCTTCGGCGGGGCCCCAGCCCCCGCTTGTCCTCCAGCGCACGCTGCAGATGAGGTCGGCCACACTGAGCAGCAGGGAGAGCGCACTGACTGCCCACATGAAAAGCATCATAATGGACTTCTCCGTGGGCCGGGAGACGTAACAGTCCACCACGCCGGTGCAGGGAGAGTGGGTACAAGAGAATCTCTTGGGGACCAAGAATCCAAAGAGGAGGTAATGTGAGGCACCAAAAGCTGCCTCGGTCAGCATCCGAAGAAAGAGGTGGACGATGTAGCTGGAGGAGAAGTCCGGCACGGTCAGGTGGCGCGGCTCCCTGCAGGGCGGAGGGCGGCGCCTGTCCCCAGGGCTCCGGTCACAGGGGTCAGGACGGGTGGGACCGCCGTCTGGCCCGGAGAGTCCACAGGCGGCGAGCACAGCCCCTTTGTGGACCACGTAGACACTGAAAACGGCAGAAGGGAGGAGAACAGACACGCTCTGGATCAGCCAGAACCGCAGGTGGGACACCGGGGAGAAGATGTCGTAGCAAACATTGGCGCATCCCGGCTGCAGAGTGTTACACACAAACCTCTCCTGCTCGTCCTGGTAGACCGGGGAGCCTGCCAAGATGATCACCACCATCCTCAGCAGTATCATGAAGATAAGCCAGATCTTCCCTAGAAAGGAGGAAGCAGGAAGGGCACCATCACCAGCATACAAACATATGCCCTTCCGACAATAGTTTTTAAGTATTTTCAGGGGTGAGACTGGAGAACTGAGAAGTCAGTAAGCATGCATTTTAGTCCCCGAAGCAGCGGCGGCTAGTTAGCTCATCTGCCAAATATTTACGGAAGCCCTACAGTGTGTCAGACACTGTGCTGTACTAGTTGTTTGTAAAATGCTTTGCAATTGACAGATTTTAAAGAAGACTTAGAGACTAAAGATGTTTGATCTGGACTCCACTAGTTCAGACTTTTGGTAATGTCTCCTGGACTTAAAGTTCTAGAAAGAAAGTTGAGCTGAGCAAATTAATGATGTAAATAAGACCTTACTCTCTGCAGATAATAAGCTTTCTAAAGAATGTTAGCACATTTGTGTAACTGTGTGTAGCAAATACAAGCTGCTAATTATAGTTCAGTCATCTTTATTTTGGTCCAGAAGATCTTTATTTAATTGTTGCTTTATGGTCCTTGAAATCAAATTTCCTTAATGACATTCAACTTTTCAGATTTTTCAATGACTTGGAATTCCTTATCCTCTATTACAGTTATTATGAAATAATGAGGTTCCTCTTTCTTCAATTTATCATGAATAAATGAGACCAACCTAGGAAATCAAAATAACGTCAAAGTCCTATTTTCATATCACAGGTTAACTCTTTTGGAACACGTCTAAGACTCAGTTAAAATAATCTGCAAATATTTTGTTTTGTGACATGATACAGAAAACATCACCTGACATCAGAAAAACAGAACTCTATTATAAATGCAGTTAAGCTCAAAGAATAGCATTATGTGATCAAGTCATTGACTCAAACTTGTAAGACCAAGTTGATTTTGTTTAAATTCTACAAAATAATGAGTAAGAAAAATATCAACCACTTCATAGGCATATTTTAATGCTTTTCTCAAGTCTTTTTTTTATTTAAAAATATTTTATTTATTTTGACAGAGAGAGAGAGGGCACAAGCAGGGGTAGTGGCAGGCAGAGGGAGAAGCAGACTCTCTGCTGAGTGGGGAGCCCGATGCGGGACTTGATCCCAGGATCCTGGGATCATGACCCGAGCCGCAGACACGCTCAATCAACTGAACCACCCAGGTGCCCCTTCTCAAGTCTTTTTTCTAGGACACCCATACTTCTCTAAAAATTTGACATGTCTGCATCAAACTCAGAAATATTTATTACTTTCTTTTTAAAAAAAAAATAAACTAAAATTTGGATTTGGCTTAAATTGCACAAGAGAAATGACTAATCCTTAAAAATTAAGCTTCAAGGAAAAAGATGAACAAGAAGGAAGTGTAATCAAGGCACAAATTTCTCTTTAATTTTTACTGTATTGTTCCTTCTCCTGATTAGGTAGTCAGAGAAGAGTTACTCAAAGATACTCCTTCCACTGGCTTCAGTCTTCAGGCTCAGCATCTAACCATCAGTGAGAACAGCCCCCAGGAGAGAACACTCAATCCAAGCCTTCCTTAAATGACGGTGGAACTGGGGAGCGATTACAAGAAAGCTTGAGCACACAGCTCCCTTTCTTCCAGCAACAAACAGGCCAAGGAAAGTGGTGAAAACAAAAATGCAAGAGCTTTGGAGCTATTTCCTTTACTCACCCACAATGGTCATGTTGCAGTTGACAGTGATGAGAAGGAATCCCAGCAGGTCCAAACGTTCCATGTCTCCTGAGTGTCGCAGACTCAAGGCTGCTGGAGACATCGGAAGCCTGTGTTCTCCAAGAACACTTCTCCAAGAAGGTGGAAAATCTTTGCAGGAATAAACGTATCAATAAACGTACTGCTACAAAAGACTTAAAGGTGAGAGCTGCAGATATAAAGGGAAAGCTGTGAGCCCAGGAATGGGAGGTCAGTTTTTCTGTCTCCGAGCAGAGACGGCCCTGAGCTGTTGGCCTCTGAGGCAAAGTGTTCTTGACAACTGCAGTGACCAGAAGACAGCAGGAGTCATCTCTCATTGCGGGCTATTCTTACCCTCTTGAGACATTCCAGGCCCGTGGCAGTGTTCACATGTCTGTACTGGGAGAGCCAGACGCTTCAGGATATAATAGAAGTGACTACATTTAACCCAAGAAAGAAAAGGTTCTGTTAACTAGCCAAGGAAACTTCTCTACTAAAAAGGTGTTTCCTCCTTGCAAATATTTCCACAACCACTTCACTTATTAAAGAAGCACTGAAATGCTCATGTTTTGTCTTCTCTATGAAGCGTAGGTGAGAACACTGGCCCACAAGGGTCTGGCTCTCATTTTGAATTCCGGCATCATGGCTGAAAGCATAAATCTGCATATTAGACACATGTCCCAACTTTAGGCTGCGACTCCATTATTCTCTAGCTCTTTCCTGTCTGGCTGAGAGACAAGAGTTTTTTAGTTGGATACAAAAGACCTGGGGCAGCCACCTCGTCCCTGGGGAAGTCACCAAATCTCTCCATGTACCCTCACCTTGCATGAGGGAGAATCATGCTGTTCAGTCAGGGCTTGTGGGAGGCAGACACAAAATGATGGTGTTGAGAGCACCTGGCATGGAATGAGGGTGCAACAACTCAAATCAGTGGAATTTCGATCCCTAACTGGTGCCCCAAACCTTCATAGATTGCATCCTCCTTTTGTATGTACTAGCCCCATCTAGCCCAGGGCTGCTCCCATGGAATCAGCTTAATAAATGTCCATTAAATTCGTAATAAAGTATCACTGTCTGGACCTGCCGACATCAATCACAGTTGCATCAAAATCCTCTCGTGGCTGTCACCTTTCTATCTAGGAAGAGCCCATCCTGCAAGGCTGGGGATCTATCATCAGGGTGGAAATTGTGAACTTTAAAGGAATGATTTCAATTTTCCATGAAAGCTATTCTTTTATTCCCATCTTTTCTTCATTTCTGATCTATTCTTGACTTTGGTAATATCCCTAAAAAGATTCCCAGAAGAGGAGTACAACAAAGCTGCTTTCATCTTTATTCACATGACACGTTTCCATCCACAGAAAACATTTTGACCCCCTTGAAAGGCACAGTAGTTTTGCTATATTTTAGTCAAATGCTTCACCATGAACAATGAAATTTAGAGAAATTGTGGTTAAGTAAAAAAATATTGAAATAGCCATATGGTTCAAGTATAAAATAAAGGAAAATATCTTTCCCTCCTAATAGTCTGTTCATGACACTGGTTTAAAATTTGAAATACGAGGAAAGCAATTTCTGAATTTGCTGTGTGATATAATCTATCCTGAACATGGACTAATATAGAATTTTGCGATCTAGAGTAAATGGCTGTAACTTTTCATGCCTCAGTTTTCTCATCAGTAAAGTAGAAAAAAATGTGTCCCCTGCATACACAGAGTGGCTGTGATATGCAAAATGAGATCATAGACATGAAACTGATTTAAAAATATAAAGAATTACACGTGCATCTCAGGGTCTACTCCTCAGGGTTCCCATCCTTGGTCTATCCCTTTGCTCCTACAGCATCTTCTGAAAAGGTAATGCTGCCTGTTCTCTCTCCACCCTCATCTATTTTGCTCTTGCTTCTCTAAGTCCACACCATCTCCATTCTTTGCCTTTTTTTCTACTAAAGGATAGTTTTGCTCTGCCTGGAAATTTAAACCCCAGTAGCTGCCAGAAGCAAGATGTGGACAAAAGAGAAGGAGGATGTGGCTGGAGCATCAAACATGTGGCTCTCTATACAATTATCCCAGCCCCCCATCAGGCCTCCCCAGCCTCCCAGGCCTGGCACCCATGGCCCGTGTGGGTGCTGGTGGACATAGACAGCATGCTGGCCAACTTTGAGGCCAGCCTCCTGTGGGGCTTCTGCTGCAGCCTCCTAGGGGAGCCACAAGTGGCACTGGAAATACAACTTGGATTTAGTGTTTCTCAGTACTAAGCTCTGTGGCGGGACCCAGCAGACAAAGTGGCCAGTGTGTATGAAGCCCAGGGCTTTTTTCCTAGCCTTGGAGCTTATCCCTGGAGCCTTGGAAGCCATACAGGAGATAAACAACATGCAGGACACTGAGGTCTTCATCTGTACCAGCCCTCTGATGAACTATGAATACCGTGTGGGTAAGAAGTACCACTGGGGAAAGAATCCACTGGGGCCTCAGTTTGTGGAGTGCAATATCCTGTTGAGGGACAAGGCAGTGGTCTTGGGGGACCTGCCCACTGATAACAACACACCATTTGAAGCCAAGAGGAGATCCCAAGCTGGGAGCACATCTTGTTCACCTGCTACCACCAACCAGCATCTGGCCCTGCCCCCCACAAGGAGACGGCTGCTCTCCTGGAGTGACAGTTGGAGGGAAATCATAGGCCACAAGCAAGGGGCCAGGACAGTGGATGGTAGCTGGAGGAAAGGAAGGAAGGCCCCCAGGGAACCCCAGCAGAGCTGAATGACAGGGCAGTGTCATGGCGGTAGCCCCCAGCACTGTGGAGCAGGGAGACACAGTAACCTCCATTCTCACAAGCCAGCCACCTGGAAACTCACAAAATGGCTGGCAAGGAAACATGGTGGGAAACTCACTCAGGAACATTTTTAATAAAACACTTTGGCTCAAAAAAAAAAAAAAATTATCCCAGGGGCGCCTGGGTGGCTCAGTCGTTAAGCGTCTGCCTTCGGCTCAGGTCATGATCCCAGGGTCCTGGGATCGAGCCCCGCATCGGGCTCCCTGCTCCACAGGAAGCCTGCTTCTCCTTCTCCCACTCCCCCTGCTTGTGTTCCCTCTCTCGCTGTGTCTCTCTCTGTCAAAAAAAAAAAAATTATCCCAGAATCAATAGGGAGGTTTCTATTTGTGTGACTGTAGAGCAGAGGGAAGCTTTGGGGGAGTACTGTGTTCAATTCAATGGAAAAGAAATCCAGCGGGAGTCAGGGACATGGATATGGCTGAGTTGCACAAGATGGCATCCTGGGATTTGTTCACAAATGAACTGAGCAAAAAGGAAAGAGAAAAGCAGAGCCACATGCTATCCAGCCTTGGCTTACCCCCCTCTAGCTTAATGACATGGCCGAATTATTTAGGCCTGAGTTTTACCATCTATAAATTAGAGATGATACTTTGTTTTCAGAATTGCTGAGAACTAGTTACTTTAAATGAGGTTCTAGCACATTATTTGGCCTATAGGATGCTCTCAATTAATTACTACAGTCATTTCTCATTATTCATGGTAGTTGCATTACATAAAGTTGCCACAAACACTGAGTTAGAGATTGCTGGGGACTCCTTTTTTTTTTATGTTATGTTAATCACCATACATTACATCATTAGTTTTTGATGTAGTGTTCCATGATTCATTGTTTGCATATAATATCCAGTGCTCCATTCAATACGTGCCCTCTTTAATACCCATCACCAGGCTAACCCATCCCCCTACCCCCCCACCCCTCTAGAACCCTCAGTTTGTTTCTCATGGTTCGTCTCCCCTCCGATTCCCCCCTTCATTTTTCTCTTCCTACTATCGTCTTCTTTTTTTTTTTTTTTAACATATAATATATTATTTGTTTCAGAGGTACAGGTCTGTGATTCTTCAGTCTTACAGAAATCACAGCACTCACCATAGCACATACCCTCTCCAATGTCTATCACCCAGCCACCACATCCCTCCCACCCCCCACCACTCCAGCAACCCTCAGTTTGTTTCCTGAGATTAAGAATTCCTCATAGGAGTGAGATCATATGATACTTGTCTTTATTTGATTGACTTATTTCGCTTAGCATAATACCCTCTAGTTCCATCCACGTCATTGCAAATGGCAAGATTTCATTTTTTTGATGGCTGCATAATATTCCATAGTATATATATACCACATCTTCTTTATCCATTCATCTGTCGATGGACAAAGTCTTGGCTCTTTCCATAGTTTGGATATTGTGGACATTGCTGCTATAAACATTGGGGTGCACGTACCCCTTCGATCACTACATTTGTATCTTTGGGGTAAATACCTAGTAGTGCAATTGCTGGGTGGTAGGGTAGCTCTATTTTCAACTTTTTGAGGAACCTCCATACTATTTTCCAGAGTGGCTGCACCAGCTTGCATTCCCACCAACAGTGTAGGAGGGTTCCCCTTTCTCCACATCCTCGCCAACATCTGTTGTTTCCTGACTTAATTTTAGCCATTCTGACTGGTGTGAGGTGGTATCTCATTGAGGTTTTGATTTGGATTTCCCTGATGTCAAGCGATGTTGAGCACTTTTTCATGTGTCTGTTGGCCGTTTGGATGCCTTCTTTGGAAAAATGTCTGTTCATGTCTTCTGCCCATTTTTTGATTGGATCATTTGTTCTTTGGGTGTTGAGTTTGATAAGTTCTTCATAGATTTTGGATACTAGCTGATATGTCATTTGCAAATATCTTCTCTGATATGTCATTTGCAAATATCTTCTCCCATTCTGTCGGTTGTCTTTTGGTTTTGTGGACTGTTTCCTTTGCTGTGCAAAAGCTTTTTATCTTAATGAAGTCCCAATAGTTCAATTTTACCCTTGCTTCCCTTGCCTTTGGCGATGTTTCTAGGAAGAAGTTGCTGTGGCTGAGGTCGAAGAGGTTGCTGCCTGTGTTCTCTTCTAGGATTTTGATGGACTCCTGTCTCACATTTAGGTCTCTCATCCATTTTGAGTTTATTTTTGTGTGTGGTGTAAGGAAATGGTCCAGTTTCATTCTTCTGCATGTGGCTGTCCAGTTTTCCCAACACCATTTGTTGAAGAGACTGTCTTTTTTCCATTGGACATTCTTTCCTGCTTTGTCAAAGATGAGTTGACCAGAGAGTTGAGGGTCCATTTCTGGGTTCTGTATTCTGTTCCATTGATCTATGTTTTTGTGCCAGTACCATACTGTCTTGATGATGACAGCTTTGTAATAGAGCTGGAAGTCCAGAATTGTGATGCCACCAGCTTTGCTTTTCTTTTTCAAAATTCCTCTGGCTATTCGGGGTCTTTTCTGGTTCCATACAAATTTTAGGATTATTTGTTCCATTTCTTTGAAAAAAGTGGATGGTATTTTGATGAGGATTGCATTGAATGTGTAGATTGCTCTAGGTAGCATTGACAGCTTCACAATATTAGTTCTCCCAATCCATGAGCATGGAATGTTTTTCCATTTCTTTGTGTCTTCCTCAATTTCTTTCATGAGTATTTTATAGTTTTCTGAGTACAGATTCTTTGCCTCTTTGGTTAGATTTATTCCTAGGTATCTTATGGTTTTGGGTGCAACTGTAATTGGGATTGACTCCTTAATTTCTCCTTCTTCTGTCTTGTTGTTGGTGTATAGGAATGCCACTGATTTCTGTGCATTGATTTTATATCCTGCCACTTTACTGAATTCCTGTATGAGTTCTAGCAGTTTTGGGGTGCAGTCTTAGAACTAGAAGTCCTAGCCACAGCAATCAGACAAAAAAAGAAAAAAAAGGCATCCGAGTCGGCAAAGAAGAAGTCAAACTCTCACTCTTTGCAGATGATATGCTTTATGAGATTGCTGGGGACTCCTAGGGGAAATACAGAGTTGGTCTGGTCACCACAGTTTAGTCAATCAATCAACACATAACCTTGTTTTACGTGTGCTTCTGTTAGAAGATACCTTATTTAACATGTATGTTTTTTATATATATTTAATATAGTTGGCTCATTAACATTGACCTTGTAGCCTAGACAGCTGTAACTCATGCCTGAACGAAGTTCAACTAATGTGTTTTCACTGTGAGGCACGTCACAGGCTTCTTGCCCTCGGAACATCAGCATTTCAGCACTGTATTTGAGAGACATTTTAAACAGCAAAATCACCAACAAAAAGCACAAAAGTGTGAGGGGCACCTGGGTTGCTCAGTTGGTTAAGCATCTGCCTTCAGCTCAGGTGATCTCAGCGTCCTGAGATCGAGCCCCGCGTTGGGCTCCCTGCTCAAGGGAGTCTGCTTCTCCCTCTCCCTCTGCCTGCCGCTCCGCCTGCTTGTGCTCTCTCTCTCTGTCAAATAAATATTTTTTTTTAAAAAAGGGCACAAAAATTTGAAAAGCATGGCACTAAGTAGGCCTACACCCCCCCCCAAAAAAAGCTTATTTACAGCTCCTGAAACAAGAAGGCAGCCCATCAGCATCTTCCACCTCAGCTGGGAATGCACGTGCTGGGTCACAAACTCTTCAGTGCTCTGTGCATGTCCATGAATACCATGACAGCCCACAGGTGATGATTCTGAGTTTACAAAAAATATCATAGCAGTTAGGCAAATTTGCTAATACGGAGTCCATGAATAATGAGGATTGACTAATAATAAGAACCTACTAGAAGAAAGAGAAGCTGAAGCTGATGAAGGGTGGGTTCAGAAAACCAATGTGTCTCTCGGAGCCCCAGGGAGGGCAGAGTTATGATCATGGAGGGAGCGGTCAAGGTACACACCCCACCCACTCCCATTCTTACTTCAGTCAGAACACCTCCTCCACTTCTATCTTCATTATTTTTATGTTTTGGCCAAGATCCCCCTTTAATAAAGGAATGTGCCTCTAAAAAGAAATGTTAGGAATGTGGCCTATGTGAAAATAAGGATGAAAGGCAGCCTAATATCAAGGTTTAGAACACAAGTTCTGGAGTCTGACGACCTAGATGAAAATTATAGTTTCTTGACCATGTGACCTTGGGAAGCTACTTTCCTCAGTTTCCTCACTGAAAAAGCACATTATCTAACCCCTACCTGGAATGACTGTGAAGAACAGATGAGAGAATACTTAAAGCACAGAGAACAGCATCCAGCCAATGATGTGTACTCAAACCATCCGTCCTTATTCTTATCACCCCAAGAATCAGGTGCCAGTGAAGGTGGGGGTCTTGCAGTGGTTTCTCCTCCTGACGATGCGTGCCCCAGGGCCCTGAGCAGCCAGCCCAGAAATCTGGCAGGAGAAGGGTATATTTCCTCCCAGGTTCAAAGTGGCAAATGGCTACTAGGGAAATAGAATTCAGCTTCTGGAGGCTTGGAAATGATGGCATCTGTTTTGTTTCACTCTGTGTGTGTGTGTGTGTTTAAGGAATAGATTATCTAATTTGGGAAATGAAGGTTTTCATTGTTCTCAGGATTAAATGACTTTCTCAGAACTGGATAGAAAGCAAAGGTTCAGCATCAGCACAACAGACCAATCATGCCCGCAGTCACATTTCATGTGCATATGTAAATCCAGTAATAATTTATTATAACCACTTGCTTTTCTGGCAATATAAGCCTAAGTAATCCAGGGTGAACCAGCTCTGTGCAGACCTTCTACCACCCAAACCCACACACGCCCCCACGCCAGACTTACAGCTAAAAATTAACAACCTAGGCAACAAGAGATCCCAAAGAACAGGTACAAGGTGGAAATTTTCTTCTGCTGAGGAATTTTCTGCTCCTATGGTCCAAGAGCTATCATTCTTAGATTGTATTTTCAACTCCAGTT